CAACCTTCCTTCCAAGGAGTGGTGGGTTTGAACTGCCAGCCTTCTAGTTAGCAGTCAAGTGACTTAGGCACTACGCTACCAGAGAGCTTGGTGAAAGGATACAACCCTGATATACACATTTCCTGATTTTAAACAACTAACAACTGCCTCTTATTCTATGTACAAGTACCTCACGGGCACAATTAAGTGTTCTGGAATTCCCATCCTTTGCAATGTTATCTATAATTTGTTATGATCTACACAGTCAAAGCCATTGTACAGTCAATAAAACACAAGTAAACATCTTTCTGGTATTCTCTGTTTTCAGCCAAGATCCATTTGACATCAGCAATGACATTCTTCACTCCATGCTCTCTTCTGAATCTGGCTTGAATTTTTGGCAGTACCTTGCCAATAGACTGCTGCTGCAAATGGTTTTGAATTACCCTCAGCATAATTTTCCTTGCATGTGATATTAATGATATTGTTTGATGATTTCCACATTCTGTTGGATCACCTTCTTTGGAATGGGCACAATTATGGATCTCTTCCAGTCAGCTGGCCAGGTAGCTGTCTTCCAAATTTCTTGGCATGGATGACTGAGTGCTTCCAGTATTGGATCCATTTCTTGAAACTCCTTAATTGGTATTCCATCAATTCTGGAGTGCTGTTTTACACCAACACCTACAGTGCAGCTTTATCCTTTAATACCATCCGTTCTTGATCGTATGCTAAGTCCTGAAATGGTTGAACATCAACCAGTTCTTTTTGGTACATGTCACTCTGTGTACTCCTTCCCTTTTTTTTTTTTTTAATGATCCTATGTTGTTTAATATTTTACTTGTAGAATCCTTCAATATTGCAACTCAAGACTTGAATTTTTTTTTTCATTAGTTATCCTACTTGCAAAATGGCAAAGGTGTTCTTCCCTTTTGGCTTCTCCCATCCTAGATTACAGCCTAGAAAACCCCATCGGGCAGTTCTACTCTGTCATATAGGGTCCCTATGAGTTAGAATGGACTCTAATGCACCTAACAACAATAACGAGTTTAAAATAGAATTGGTAACTATTGTTGGAGTTGGACTTAAATACTAAGTGGTTGATCATCACATTGCTATTTGCCAAAGAAGCATCTAGATAATTATCTAAGAAAGTCTTTTAAAGAAGCAGCCTCCCTTTTTCAGGAGTACTTAGCCAATTTTAAAAACAAAAGTAAAAATTAAAGTGTTTCTATTCTAGGAGCTTTTTTTTTTTTTTTCCTGCCCAGGGCCTAAGGCAGAATTTTATTGCTTTGTCCCTAAAGAAGTTTTCTGGCTTCTACTCTTACTCCTACTCCACCCTCTATTGTTTGAAGAAAATAGATAGGGCAGCTGGGACCCTGACCAGTGACAACTAATCAGAGGCCTCTGGACTGGGAAACTCCTCTGGTCTTGGCAGAAACCAACATTTTTAAATGAAGGTAAAACAAAGGCTAAGTCCTTTGCTTCTGTCCAAAGCCCTATGCACAGGCATGTTTTTCTTGCCAACTGTGGTGGCCAAGAACAGTGTTCCCCAGTTGTGCCAAGATTACATGCCAGCATCAAATAATAGAAGACTTTTCTCAATTACAGAAATAACAACAAAAAAATATGGCAATGAATCAACTTTATTTTATCTTACAAGTTTGGCTCTTGCTATCACTAGCTGCTACTGGAGTATATGATTTGCCACAACCTATGATTATACCAGCACAAACTTAGTCGTTTTCAATTTAACTCGTGTTGTTTTTCAAAGAACAGCATGATTTTTTTGATTAAGGTTGAGAATCACTGCCCTAAATGTTGTTAAAGGTAAGAGCAAGGTAGGTCTTACTACCTAAGTACTCCTCTTAACACTTTCTCTGTCTATGGTAGTCTTCTCATCGCTGTTAGCTGCCATCAAATTGGTCCTCAACTCATGGCAACTGCAATGGAAAGAAATACTACCCAGATCTACACCATCTTCATGATTCTTAGTATGTTTGAGTCCATTGTAGGGGCTACTGCCAGCTCCAAAGATTGTCCTAAACAAATTTTGCTAAGTAACTGAACGATTACACTAATTAACTTTCATGCTGCTATAATTTCTGCATTCTTATTTCTAGACAACTCTATCTCAATGGGACAGACATTTACTTAAATAACTTGAGAATTACTTCTTCAGTATTAAGATACACTAATAAAGTTTTGGTAGTTTAAATTAAAAATACCTACTAATTCATTCAGTCTGTATGCTGAGCAAATAATCCAAGAAGCTAGACTATATAAAGAAGAAGATGGCATCAGGATTGGAATAAGACTCATTTCCAGCCTGTGACAATACAGTTAACACAACCTTGCTTGCTGAATGTGAGGATGATCTGAAGAACTTACTGATGAAGATTAAAGACTACAGTTTGCAGTACGGATTGCACCTCAATATAAAGAAAACAAAAGTCCTCACAACTTTACCAATAAGCAGTATCATGGTAAATGGAGAAATGATTGAAGTTTTCAAAGAGTTCATGTGACTTAGATACATAATCAACACGATTGGAAGCAGCAGTCAAGACATCAGATGTCTTACTGCACTGGGCAAATGTGCTGCAAAAGACCTCTTTAAAATGCTGAAGAACAAAGATGTCTCTTTGAAGACTAAGGTACACCTATTCGAAGCCACTTGCAGTGTAGTAAATTACTTAGTATGGCTTTTCTAACCATAAGTCATTGTAAACTCAGTGGTGGAATGAGCAACTGAGGAGCTCCTGATTGTAAATGTTATCCACCTGGGTTATTTCTGTTGGGTGTGGCACAATACAATGTTCTGGGAGGTTCCCACTCTCTCTCACATGCTTAGAGTTCTGATGCTATGATTGGCTAGTTTGGCCACCCTGCTGGGCTCAAAAGGAGGCCTCCTAGAGGCAAAACTTTTTCTGACTGCTGGTTGAGGAAGACGTGCTGCCGAAAGAGACACGCACCCCAGAAAGAGACACGTGCTGCTGGGAAAGAGACGCAAGAGACATGCATTGCTGAGTGAGACACCGAGGGACATGCACTGCTGGGGGAGAGACTGTAAGAGACTTGGCTGAGAGATGGTGGGCTGGGAGAGAGACTGAGCGTTTTTCCTGAACTTGAATTGTAGCTTGGTGTTTCCCTAATAAACTCCATAATCTGTGAGTTCTGTGTGGCCACTGCAGCAAATTATCGAACCCAGGAGAGAGGTGGTGGGTGCTTTGGGAGGAATAGTTGGTGAAAGGGCTGGAGGAAGGCAGCATGTCTGGCCTTGCAGTAATAGGCCTTGTGCTATTGATGGTGATTCGGCCTTCCTCTTGTGGGATTAGAGGAGGTCAGAACATGTGGCCTCCTTGCCATTCTTGCACCACTGTATGTTCAATTACCTCATATGCATGTGAGAGCTGGACAATGAATAAGGAAGACTGAAGAAGAGTTGATGCTTTTGAGTTGTGGTGTTGGTAAATAGTACTGAAAGTACCATGGACTTCCAGAAGAACAAACAAATCTGTCCTAGAAGAAGTGCTGCCAGAATTCTCCTTGGAAGCAAGAATGGCCAGACTTCATCTCACCTACTTTGGTCTTGGGGTCAGAAGGGACCAATCCCTGGAGAAGGATATCATGCTTGGTAAAGTGGAGGATCAGTGAAAAAAGGGAAGGTCCTCAACAAGATGGATTGACACAGTGGCTGCAATGATGGGCTCAGGCATAGCAAGGATTGTGAGGCTGGCACAGGACTGGGCAGTGTTTTGTTCTGTTGTACCCAGCGTTGCTATGACTTGGAGCCAACTCTATGGCATTTAACAAAAATAACAACAACAACGAATGCAAAGAAATATACTCTTTGGTATTCTCTTGAAAATATAGCCTTGTAGTCTTTGAATGCTCAAAAATATTTGCTGTATTATTTTAACCTGGTAGTAACTTTCATGAACTAACCACAGAAATTACTCAAGACTGAAGACAACTTGCACAAAGTAGGTGTGTAGTAAGTATTTGGTAAATTATGGAAAGATGTTGACTGGCAGAGTAGAGAGTAAACCAAACAGTTTTAAATTAACTCAAGGAATACAATACAGTAGTGAAAATAAATCAACATGGAACAACATGATGTATGTCAAATATATATTGAAAAATATAAGCAAGTTGCAAAATAGTATATGGAGTATAAGGCAAGAATATAAAATATGCAAAAGTACCGTGTATCATTTATGGATACATAGTTTGCAGTAAAAGTATAACAGGATGCAGAATCATTGTGATACATAGTTTGCAGTAAAAGTATAACAGGATGCAGAATCATTGTGTATAACGGCCAGGGGATGCTATCCTCCTCCCAAGTCCTTAAAATACACACTGGAATGGAAACTCCCAGCTCAGAAAAATAATTGCCCTAAAAGGCAACAGGGAGATTTACAGGGATTATGTTCTCGAATAAAATAGACAATAAGATAGCTATATACAACCTTAGGCAATCTGGTAGCATAAAGCCTAAGGTATTTGACTGCTAACCAGAAGCCTGGTGGTTCAAATCCACCAGCCACTCCTCAGAAGGAAGATTGGGCAATCTACTTCCGTAATGACACTATCTTGGAAACCCAAGGAGGGGTCTCTATGAGTCGGATCTGACCTCAACGGCAGTGAGTTTTTTGAGTTTACAAAAAACCTTTATAGGTATGAAAAAATTTACCTAATTTTACATTCAATTCTTTTATGGGGAGACTGAAGGAAAAAGAGATAATTGTGGCTACGTCTAGGGAAGATGATCTTATTTCTTTTCTTTGGAGTAGAAGCCTAAGACACATGTTGAAACGCTCACTCAAATCAGAAGTTTAACAGTTGCTTGAGGAAAAGAGTATATAAGTCAAATTCCAAACATATCTTCTTCAAATCCTGATGATTAGCAAACTTCAAAATGGCAGCAAACATCTAAGTTTCCTATCTCAATATGAATAATCCCATCTTTTATGTTAGCTACTAAAATAAAACTCAGAAATGTACAGTTAACATACCAAAATGTCCATCCCGGGAACATAGTTGAGGGATATCTTATAGTCTTTTGGAAGATTTGCCACCTATAGAGACAAAAACAAAAAAAGAATTCCATAAGAAAATTCATGCACATCAATTCATCATAATTATCCTCAGAAATTTAGAGGGAAAAAAGAAAACAAAACATGCAAACAGTGTCAGTGACCAGTATCATTGGGGAACTTGTGAGAAATACAAACTGACAGGCCATACCAGACCTACTATATCTTATTTAACAAGCCCTTCATGCTCAATCTGAGAACTATTGTTGTATGTTGATCATAAAAAGGAGCCAGAGAACAACAACAACAAAAAAAAGCATCCCCATTCTCTCTCCCAGGAAAACAGTAGAATCCTGACTCCTCACTGAAAACAAATCTAAGCTGTCATGGAAGGTCTTTCTCACTTTTTTCATTTACTTTAGAGTTGCTCACTTGTTCTTTTCACTTAACTTCCTTCTTCTCAAACTTCCCACCATGCCTGTATAATTTCTTTTGTCTTCAGAATCTTCATCTCCATTTTTGAAAAGCAATATGACCTAGTCATCGTATGTTCCATGCTCAGAGTCAGCCCCAGTGGCAGAGATACAGTAGACACCTCTGCAAGTGGAATGAGACTAAGCAGCGCGCTCTCTCTCTCTTTCTCTCTCTCTCTCTCTCTTTAAACGAATGAACCATGTAAATTAAAGCTACTATTCTAGATGGAGAAACAAGGCAAAGAAGGACAGGTATTCTGCATGCAAGCTACTTGATAATCTAGCCCCTTCCTAAGTGT